ACCTCATGCATGTTGAGCCGAGATTGCTTTCGGGATTCAAAAATGAAGTCGAATGACAGGGCCAGGATTGGGAAACAGCCCCTCGGTCTCCATGCTTTGTGTTCTTCTTGCTTGTGTGACTATGTTGGCTGGGACGGGGCGTGGGAAAGGTGGGCTCTGTATCCTGTAGGACGTTGGAAATGTGCCCTCAAAGTAGTAGACCGTATTTCAACCTAGGGTGATCATTTGAAAGATTCCCTACTGCCACTCGCAGCTTTCCCAAAGCCTTGGTCAGCTCTCGGAGGAAACGGACCAATTAGCCAAGTCAAGCGCTCAGTCCGCCCTGTGCTCACAGGCCTTTCCTCCAAGGGCTCTCTGGGGGCGAAATCCATTCATGATTCTGGCTTGTTTGTTTACTATTGTTATTATTTTAGATACTGAGAAGGAGAAATCGTCACATGCTGAGAAGATTAAACAGCTAAGAGAACAAGTCAATGAGCTCTTTAGCCGAAAATTTGGTAAGTTGTTCTATCATTAGATAACCCAAATTTATCAACTTGAAATACATCTTTAAAAAAAAACTGTTTTATTCATATATAATTCAGATGTCATACATTTCGATGGTTTAAATATCTTAGAGTTGTGCATTCGTCACCACCACTTTAGAGCATTTTCTTCAGTTCTGTTTCCCGTTTCCCCCCATCATAAGCGTGAGAAACCGTTCCTGTCATTGCTGTCTCTAGATGTACCTGTCCTGAGTGTGTCGGCGGGGTGGTCTGGGGAAACCAGAGCAGCGACACTCATCCATGTGTCAGACAAAGCGCCCGGCCCAGGGCAACTTACACCCCTGGATCTGCTGGTAGCTGGGGCCTCTGCAGACTCCCAGACGTGCAGGCTGATGGTGCAGGAAGAGGGAGCAGGGAGATCACAGACCAGTGGGTGCAGAGTCTCAAGGACCCCACGTGGGTGGGAACACAGCAAGGTGCCAGCAGCTCTCAGGGGTCGGGCAGCCCACCTGGGGCCACCGCTGGAGCCAGACAGGAGTCCCAGTAAGCAGAAGGGGCAGGGGCAGAGAGAGACGTTCTCATTGTCTTGTGGAAAAGGTCATACCCCCAGGGCGGCATCATCAAGCTGTGAACCGAGCAGTCGTTGGACTCCACCCCTGTGCTTTCAGACAGACTCACGTTGACCTCAAATCCAATGAAGTACTTCTGTTACCTGAGTGCCTGGTCTGCTAAGAAACGGCTGCTTCTGCGAAAGAGCTATGGTCTGAATCCGTCGAGATGTATCTTAATGAAGAGGTTTTACCCAAGTCATTTCAACACCGGTGTTAACTGACGATTTATTGAGTTCTTACCGAGGCCAATGGTCATTTTCAGTGTTTGACATGCGTTTAATCATTTAATCCTCACCCCAAAAAAACCCTCAAGTACATATGTCATCATCTCTATTTAATGACTATAGGCACTGTGTCTAGGACCCATCTCCAGTTTCACAATCAGTAAAATTATATCCACTACTGGGGAATAAAATAACTCTGGCTGGTTACCAGTATTGGCAATTGGTTTGAATGATTTTAAAATCGTGACATGAAGGATAAAATACAGTGTCTCCTCAACCAGGGCAAAGGAGAGTGAGGAAAATGAAAGCCCCCTGGAAACCCCGAGTCCAGAGAACTAGCAGACCCTGAGAACCCCAGCGCCATGACCAAGGGACAGAAGACTAGATGGAGCCACACGGCTCTGAAAGGGCGCAGAATTGGAGGTTAAAATGTGGCACCAAGTTCAACATCCTGATCCGATAGAAACTGCTATGCCCCAGGACTGTGTCCATTACATACCCTCGTGGCTTAACTTTCAGCCAAAGATTAGACAGGCCTATACCAGGTAAGCAGTCACCCCAGGGAGGTATGCACACACCTTAGAGCAGTGGTTCTCAACCTGTGGGTCTCGACTCTTTTGGGGGTCAACCGACCCTTTCACAGGGGCCGCCTAAGACCATTGGAAAGCACATATTTCCGATGGCTTAGGAACTGACACCGCTCCTCTATCTGGGTCCTCTCACATGGAGATAAGCCCGTATACGAGTATCTGCCGTGAAGACCGTTACCCATGCTACACCATGCTTCAAGACAAAATTTCATTTGTCATTAGAAATAAATATTTCACAATATAGAATGACATCTTGTTTTTGTGATGCATCACTCTGCTTTAATAATGTTCAGTTTGTAATAACGAAAATACATCCTGCATATCAGATACTTACATGACAATTCATCACAGTAGCAAAATGACAGCTATGAAGTAGCAATGAGAATCATGTTATGGTTGGGGTCACCACCACATGAGGAGCTGCATGAAAGGGTCGCTGCGTGAGGAAGGTTGAGAACCGCTGCCTTAGAGCAATCAGCCATCAGGCAGCGTCTGGCTGGGATCACACCCGAAGACGGGAAGGGCTCAGAAGGAAGGAAGAGGGGACCTGGGAACTCCAATGAGCACGTGGGAAAGTACTCTTACTCCAGGGTTGGGGGTTGTGACCAATGTTGGAATAAAAAAATGTACAAATTGCTGCAGGGAGAACCAGTCAAGTCCCAATAAAAAGTTAAAAACCAGTATTGGGTCTGAGCACCCAGTTTACAGAAGCTGTGGGTGACAGGGAAAGCCCGGTCCATTTGCAGAGGGCCGCAGGGATGCCAACAGCCTTGCGCTCAGCCAAGTGCATCGGAAAGAGAACTAAGGCAGACATCCCTAGGTAAAAATCTAACATCTTCCGTTTCCCCTTCTGACCAGTTCTTCACCTGTTCTAGTTTGTATTTTTGGCTGGTCATTTTTCTGTGTTTTATTTTGTTACTATTTGGGGGTGGGGGGGTGTGTGTTGATTTTCTGTCTGTGAAATCCAGGTTCGGTAAATCTATAGAGACAGTACTAGATTAGTAGTTTCTCTTGGGTTATGACAGGGCAGGTTGGGGGCAGTGTGAAATGGGGGGCTAATAGTACCCCAAATGAAGAAAATGTCCTAGAGTGGGTTGTGGGGGTGATCACACAGCTCTTTTTAGTGCATTCAGACCTCTGGGTTGCACGGCACATGCAATAAAACTGTTGAAATGTAAATAAACCGATCAATCGATCGCCATGGCCTTTGAGTATGTGCTCCCTTAGAGGGTCCACGAGGGAGACCGCACAGACCAGCGGAAGGGACGGCAGTGGCCTCGGCGGAGACGGCCCAGCAGAATGGAAGGCATGAGCACCTGACGCTGTGCGGCGTCGCCGTGTCTCAGGACAAACACAGAAACCCCGCCCTCGAGCCCGTTCTGACTCGACGACCCTCGAGGACGCCAGAACCGCCCCTCTGGGTTTCCGAGACTGGACCTCTTTAAGGGAGTGGAAAGCCTCATCTTGCTCCCTCAGAGCAGCTGGTGGTGTTGAACTGCTGACGCTGTTGTTAGCAGCCCAGGCATAACCCACTGTGTCATCAGGGCTCCTAATGTGCTGTTTAAGCATTCACCTAGAACCCAATAAATACCTTCTGAAAAGTAAGTGGCAAAGTCAACTCGTGTTACCTGGCCTGTCTCCTCACAGGTGAGGCGATCGGGGTGGATTTCCCCGTGAAAGTCCCCTACAGGAAGATCACCTTTAACCCTGGCTGTGTGCTGGTCCAGGGCATGCCCCCAGGGGTGGTTTTCAAAGCCCCTGGCTACCTGGAAATCAGCTCCATGAAGAGGATACTGGATGCTGCCGAGTTTATCAAGTTCACGGTTGTTCGGTGAGTGAGAGTGAGTGGGTGGGTTACTGACCGACTGCCTGCCTGCCTGCCTGCCGAGTTTATCGTTTACTGTGGTTCAGTGAGTGGGTGAGAGAATGCTTCTAGAGATCAGAAGGCAAAGTCACCTTCCCAGACAGGCAGGGGCGAGAAAGGGACTTGCCGGTTGTCAGCACAAAGCAACGACGAGGTGAAATGCAGGAGCTTGTTGTCCTTACGTTGTGCTTCCCCTTCCCAGGTACCGCAAGGTGGTTGTGTGACGTTTACTCGATTCTGTGCAGAAGGATCAGATGCTCATAGTTGACAGTGACAGGAAGGGACTAAGTATATCACTCAGAAAGTTGCCTTTCTGCCAAACCTGTGGGCCCGACTGACCGTGAACCGTGGTTTTTCACCTGTTCAGTTCCCTCCTCCCTACTAGGACAGGGCACCCTCCTGTCCATCGGGCCTGTCTTGCCAGCCTCAGTTCTGAGCAAACAACGCCTCCCCTTTTCTCTGCTCCCTCGTTTTTCCTAAGAACAAAGGAGAAAAGGGAGATGAGTTTTGGGGTTTTAGCAAGCCCAAGCCCCCCAACACAAGCCTACCAGCCAGGCACCCTCTAACCCGGTTGGCCTGCAGTGCTTTCAGTCATAGGCTCCTAAAATTACTTGGCCACCTGGTCCCCTTCTCTGAAAACAACGGGGAGTGGGGAAATTACTCAACACTTCCCTGGCAATTAAAAATGTCATAATCCAGGATGAAGAATAGGTACATGTCCTCGTAGCCCTGGATCGTTCCGGTGCCCCCCAGGGGGTGGTATCGCGACTCTGGCAAATACTGCCTCAGACCAAAAAACCCAGTCCCACGGGCATTGAGTTGTTCCGGCCTCACAGTGACCTTGTGTGGGGTTTCTGAGCCTGTGAGTTGTTGCAGAACAGAGAGCCTCCCCTTTCTGCTGAGGAGTGACCAGTGGGTTTGAACTGCCAGCCTTGTGGTTAGCAGCCCAGTGCCTCACCAGGCTGTAAGCAGCTTTTCATTCTTTCATGTCTTTTCTCGTTGGCCAAAGTCATTTCTGCCATGACCTGGCTCACCCATTCCCCACCTTCAGCACATGATCTCACTTCCTGTTGCTGGGACCACCTGTGGGAGCACCTCCAGTGGATGGCCCCCACTCAGCAGCCCTGCCTTAGGTGGGCCCTCCTCCTTCGGTCTCAATAACACAATTGAATGATGGGTCCCGTCCTCACCTCCAACCTGCTACCAGCTCCTGCCACCCAGGGGAAGCGCAAGCCACCTCCAAAGACCAGTCGATGCTGACACGGCAACCCTGCCGGGCAAGGTGGGGCTGTCCCGTGAGTTTCCAAGACTCCAAAGCCCGGTCTTTCTTTCACCAAGCCGCTGAGACTGCCAATCGCAGTCAACACGTAACCACGGTGCCACTAGTCTTCCACGCACTTCGAGTGTCTGAGGTCTCCCCGCTGTCTGCAGTTCACACCCTACCAGGCTGACCTGCAGAAATCGCAATTCCAAGCCCCTTCTCACCTTACCCAAGTCCAAGCTCCCACAGCGCCCCCCATGAGCCTTCTCAGCTTCCACGGTTTGCCCCTCCCATGCTTCCTTTCACAGTCACAGTCACAGCCACAGTTGCCACCATCCACACCGCATGGCACCTAGTGTGTGCCAGCCCTGCCTCCCCTCCCCAGTGACCCTGAGAGGCAGCTACTGTCCCGGCCCCACTTCACAGATGAGGAAGCTGAGGCAGAGAGCCAGGGAGGTCCTCGCCCAGGGTCACAGGACTGTCAAGGTACCAGCTCTGGGATAGGTACCCAGGAATTGGCCCTGGGGCCCAGCACCTGCCTGTCGTGCTACTGTGTCCGTCACATTGGTTTTCGGTGACGGTGGGCAACCAGACTCAGCTTTATCCCCCACTGCCCCTCAGGAAGAGTCAAGACCCACCGGAAGTTTGTAGAACTGAGAGGTAAACACACCTGGGGGCAGCGGGGTAGGGCAATGAACTGTCTTGTTCATCCACGTCTCTTTCTCTTCAGACCACTTCCAGGAGTTGAGCTCAGCAATGGTGAGTAATTGAACGGGAGAACAATGCTCCTAGCTGCCCTCCAGTCCCACCCCCTGCCCATCCGTACCTCAGGGTCCTAGTGCCACCGTCCTGCTCTGCGCTCACACTGTACGCACACGCATGCACACGCACGTTACATTGTTCCCTCGCTGGGGTTTCCCTCTGGGCCCTTCTGTGGTTCTCAGACCAGTTGGAGGGAGCCCGGAGTGTTTGCTGAGGGTCCCCTCCCCTGGAGGCAAGGCACAGCCCCACGCTTGGTCACAGGGCTGGCAAATTCTGCCTGCCTGACACCTCTTCCCCTCAGGCCCTCCCTTATTTCCCTCCCACGTCTGAACCAAAAGGGTCACGCCTGGCACGCGCGCGCAGGCGACAACTCCACCCGTCCTGTGTGAAGACTGGTATCTGTTTTGATGGGCAGTGCCCAGGGGTCCCTTGTGAACTCTGTAACGTGGCCCCTGGCGGCCTTGCAAGCAGCTGGCGCCCCGCGGCTGGGGCTGTTCTCCCAGACCCGAGCCCTCGGTTGGACGTGAGTCCTCGCTGGAGGTGGGAACCACAAGTGCTCTGTGCAGCTCCTGCTCAGTGGCTGTTCCAAGGAGGCGCATCGGGGCAGAGTGCCGCTTTCTGTTGGTAATCGCTGGATGGAGGCTGTGTCCACCTACCGCGATAGCCGTTTGCGTAGAGGGGTTTTCAGAACAGTTTATTTTCCAATAAACTGACCCGAGTTGTGTGACTCCTGCCACATCCTATTTTCAGAGCAGTTCTAGCGTCATTGTTCCCCCCACCCAAGTCCTCCGGCCCATTCTCAGTCACTTCCCATCACCACCCGCAGCCCCACACAGCCAAGGGCCGCTCTCCAAAAATACACCCGTTTCCCTGGCCCACAGTGCCTGACTGCAGAGAGTCACCACAGACCTTCCTGCTTGCCCTTCTTGGCATTTCCAAGTGGTCTTACCAGGAAAGAGCACTTCCAAATGCAGGTGCACTGATGCACCTTCCTGTTTAAGCCACAGTGCCAAGTCCCCTCACCACCAACCCTGATGGCCTCTGTGGGGCACACACCCGTAACTAGGAAATTGTGGCCGAGGCCGCAAAGCGGGACAGTCTTTTCCCAAGAGTCCAGCCCTCTGTGTTGGCATTAGAAAAGCAAAGAGCCAGTCTCATGTTCCCGCCGGGGCCCGCTGCCCAAGGGGAGTGTCAGCGCCCCTGGTTGGACAGGTCTCAGTTCATCACAGTCCACCCCACCCCGCCCAGTCGCTCTGCCCCTCCCCTTCACCAGCACGCTGGCCGTTGTGTTGCTAGCCCTGGAACTCAGAACAATGACCTGTGTCCTGTCCCCGTCTCTACCCAAAGTGGGAAAGCGAAAGATAGACCAGGAGGGCCGCATGTTCCAGGAAAAGTGGGAGAGAGCCTACTTCTTCGTGGAAGTGCAGAATATCCCGACCTGTTTAATATGCAAACAGAGCATGTCGGTGTCCAAAGAGTACAACCTGAGGCGCCATTACCAGACCAACCACAGCAAGCACTTCGACCAGTACACCGAGGAGATGCGCGACGAGAAGCTGCAGGAGCTCAAGGAGGGCTTCGGCGGCGCTCTCTCCTGGACGGCAGAGACCGAGCGTCCGCAGCCAGGCCCCGGCTTCCCGGCTGCCCACCCCCCGGCACACGCCGCCGTGCAGCCGGTGGAAGACATGGGTTGGACTCTGTGGGGGAAGTTACGCGAGAAGATCGAGTCGTTCGTGGCCTACTCTGTTGCCATCGACGAGATCAGGGACACCAACAACACCCCCCAGTTGGCCATCTTCATTCGGGGCGTCGACGAGAACTTTGAGGTGTCCGAAGAGCTGCTGGACACGGTGCCCACGACGGGCACAAGATCCGGGAGCGAGACCTTCCTCCGCGTGGAGAAAAGTCTGAAGAAGTTCAGCATCGACTGGTCCAAGCTCGTCAGCGTGGCCTCCACGGGCACGCCCGCCATGGTGAACGGGACCGACGGGCTGGTGACGAAGCTGAAAGCCAAGGTGGCGGCCACCTGCCAGGGCTCCGCGCCGAAGTCCGTGTGCTGCATCATCCACCAGGAGTCCCTGTGCGCTCAGAAGCTGAAGATGGACCACGTCATGGACGTGGTGGTGAGCTCCGTGAACTGGATCTGCTCCCGCGGCCTCAACCACCGGGAGTTCACCACCTTGCTCTACGAACTGGACAGCCAGTATGGCAGCCTCCTGTACTACTCGGAGATCAAGTGGCTGGGCCGTGGGCTGGTGCTGAAGAGATTTTTCGAGTCCTTGGAAGAAATCGACTCGTTCATGGCCTCCCGAGGAAACCTGGTGCCCCAGCTGCGCTCTACCGACTGGATCAAAGACTTGGCTTTTTTGGTGGACATGACGATGCATCTCAACACCCTGACCATCTCCCTGCAAGGGCATTCGCAGATTGTTACCCAAATGTACGACGTGATCCGGGCTTTCCTGGCCAAACTGGGCCTTTGGGAAACTCATTTGGCGAGAAATAATCTGGCCCACTTTCCCACCCTGAGATCGGTTTCCAGCCAGGGAAGCGACGGCCTGCACTACATCCCGAAGATCGCAGAACTCCGGAGCGAGTTCCAGGCCCGGCTGGCCGACTTCAAGCTCTGTGAAAGCGAGCTGGCCCTGTTCAGCTCGCCCTTCTCGGTGAAGGTGGACAGCGTGCCGGAGGAGCTGCAGATGGAACTGATTGACCTGCAGTGCAACACGGCCCTGAAGGCCAAGTACGACAAAGTGGGGATCCCCGAGTTCTACAAGTATCTCTGGAGCAGCTACCCGAAGTACCGACACCACTGCGCCAAGATTCTCTCCATGTTCGGGAGCACCTACATCTGCGAGCAGCTGTTTTCCATCATGAAACTGAGCAAGACCAAGCTGAGGGAGTCCCCGTGGGACTCGGTCCTGCACATCGCCACGTGATGCAGGCATGCTGCCGAAGACCGGAACCCTAGAGGCCCCAGGGAGGATGGGAAGAGAACGTGAATCCCTCCCTCTGCCGGGCTCGCCATTGGACTGACACACAGAGTTTGCAGTGTCACACCCGCTTGTGTGGCGTTTTATGCTTCACCACAGTTCAGTAAAGATCGACGCCGTTTTATTGGGTTTCTCGTCTTTGCTTGTTCTTGGCCTGGTCCGTTTCTTTCCTTGTAAGTTAGTGACTGTCACGCAAGCAGTGCCATCTCAGAGTTAAAAGTCAGTCAGCAGAGAAGTTGAGACAGACGTGTATCCTCATGGGTTAGGCATTGGGCTGCCAGCCTCAAGCTCAGCAGTTCAAAACCACCAGCTGCTCCGAGGGCGAGAGATGAGGCTGCCTGCTGCCATAGAGTTCGTGTCTCAACCCCCTGCAGCAGTTCGACGCGGGCCTGTCCGGCTGTCGTCAGTCGACTGGCTGGCGGTGAGTCGGTTTCCTTTGGTTTGTGTGCACAGTTATAGCCACGTCGTCTGTGCCAGGCCTGCTGTACTATCGCGTGGTCTTACACGCTGCCACACTTCAGAAGAATCGTTGGCGGTGAGTCCACACAGCATGGGATTTCTCACACAAAGCCAGAAGGTTCTGCTTCAAATGGCAGCCGTCGAGCCGATGCCGACCCCTGGCGCCCCGGTGGCACGGGGAGAAGGGCCCTGTGCGTTGCCGACGCACTTCTCAAGGGAGTAGAAAGCCCTGTCTTTCTGCGGCAGCACAGCTGGTGGTTTTGAACTGCTGACCTTGTAGTTAGCCACCACGGGCCTTCAAATAGCAAACCCACACTAATAACAGAGGTAGTGTTTGCTCTTAATGTCGAAAACGGTTTCTTGTTTCATAACACAAGCTAGACAAGTCCATGCATAAAAAAGTGAGGGTAATCGGGACTGATCAATGAAAACATCTGATAACACCCGTCATCTTGTCACTTCAAAGGTCACTGACATTTAAAGTGGAATGTCAATGTATCCAAGGGTCCCCGATAGTGTAGTGGTTACTTATTTGGCTGCTCACTGTGAGGTCAGCAGTTCAGAGCTGCAAGCTGCTCTACGTGAGAAGGACGGGGCTTTCCACTCCCGTGGAGAGTTCCAGCCTCAAGCCGCAGAGGCGGTTCACGGGTTGCTCCGAGTTGGCCTCGACTCAGGGGCAGTTAGTTTGGCTCTTGGTCTGTATAGCCCGGCTCACTAATGTGCATGTAGATATTTCACATGCCCCTATAGGTATTGTAAAACAGATTTGCATTTTACTGCAAATAACGCTTTAAAATAAGCTTTTACAACATACATATCCCGAAGCCGCATCCATGGTTCTGTAGAGAGCTGGGTGGAGTCGAACTGCCAACCCCTCAGCACTGGGCCAGCAGGACTCCACATCCACAAATGAGGGTGCTTCAAAACTATGAAGAAAAAAGGAAGTATAAGATCTTGGAATTTGTTCTACAGACTTTACGAAGCCCCCTCGTACGAGCTCGTGGAGACGGGAATGAGTGTGTCAATGAACTATTCAGCCGTTGGTTTGCTCTGACTGCAGGAAGACCCTTTCTGGCTCTGCACACCAAGACCTAAGAATAGGAGGGAGCATCCTTGGCCTAACAGGGCCCAGTCTCTCATGCCACCCAGCAGTCACTTGCCTGCAGACTTGGCAGTCTGGCCCCATAATGCCCTCTGCTGCATTTTCCCTGGAGGCATGCCCTTGATAGGCACCAAGATATTTGTGCTCCTGACCCAGACGTCACTAGAATTGATGACCCAAACTGGTGGGGCGGGGCGGGGCGGGGTGGGAGTTGGCAGGGGAATTAGTTTGGGGTGAAGAAAGGCTGGGGGTCCCGTTCCAGTGACCTCGCCCAGCTCTGAGGCTCACTTCGGCACAGGAAGCCCAGGTGGACAAGTTTATAGTAGGGGTTGGGTAGAGGACTGAGTAGATGTTGACAGGTAACTGAGGCTCAGATGGTAAAGTCTAAGGTCACACAGTGGCCAAAGTCTAGCTCTTCCTTTGCTGACGGGCTACCACGCCTGCTGCAGTTTCCACCCCAGGCCTGGCTTGCCTGCCGTGGGTGGGGTGCCCAGGACAGCCAGGCTGATCCCCGTCCTTTCCTCTGAATCAGCTCCTAAGGGTCTGAGGCTGAAGAATCCACCAGGACGATTGGGGCCACATTGACCAGCTGACACGTGGACACAGCTGGGACTCAAGGACATGATTGGATGAGGGGTGGGTTTCCTAGGTGGGATGGGCTGAAGGGAACACCCAAGGGTGGTGTGGTAGGAGATGTGTGGAGGGGCCCCGGCTGGCGCTGGGGGGTGGGCTGGGTGAGTTTCCAGCAGGGCCCAGGGACAGGAGTGCACTGAGCCAGGGAGAGGAAAGGTCTGCCAAGGTCCCCCTCCCTTGACCCTGCACCTGAGAACGCTTTCAGCAGGCCGACCTCTAGGAAGGAGGCCTGACCCCAGGTCAGGAGCTCTGTGGAGCCAGGATAATGCAAAGGACCGAGAAAGGAAAAACTTTGAGACGCCTGCTGGCCTCTTGTTCTGTATCGGTGAAATACCTGACAGGGTTGCTGGGTTCTGGAGACACCAGGGACACCGCCACACTGCACCTGGCCTTGAGCACCGTGGGCTGAACAGACAGGGCAGCACAGACTCTCAGGGGTATACTCTTCCTCTACCCCACACCCCTCTGTGCCCCCCACCTACCCACATGCTTTCCTGCAGGGCCCAGAAATGCAGAGAAGTCGTGGGAAACCATCAGAATGGGCTTTAAAATCCTGAACCATTTGCTAACCATTAGGAAGCTAGCCTTTTCTTGAAACTCTTTTTTGACTCTTATATGAGGGAGCTTCAAAATGTCTGTGGAAAAATGAAGCCTGGAATGTTTCTTTCCAGTGATGAGACAACAGCCAGACACCTGAGTCACTGGTGCTGGGGGCTCAAGACCATAGGGTGAGGGGTGGGGGGTGGGACAGGGTGACACCAAGGTCAACTGGCATGACACAGTCCACAAAGACACTTCTACAGTCTGCTTTGGAAACTAGTGCCCGGGCTCTTCACAGTACGTGGGTGGCCATTGGTCTTTCCCCATCGAGAGGGAAGGGAAGTGGTGGGGATTGAAGGCATCTAGACACCCGCCCACCCCAAGACTCATGGGCCACGTGAACTGAACGCTCATCTCCATGGCCCTGAAACCAGCAGCATGAGGGGGTGCCCAGCTACCAACAACAACTGGGTGCACATCGCAAAGTGCTGGACTGAGTGGGAGAAAATGAACCCAACTCGGAACCCTAAAAAATTATTTAGATGTTGTCATACGCGTCCTCGTTGCATGGGGACTAGTGGCCCTCTGTCTGAAACTGAACTCACCCCAGCGGCTGGATTATCAACCCAACCATACTTAGGTCGTTCAGGGCAACAGACCTCAGAAGACTCACACCAAACCCCAACT